AAGACCGACAGCTGCTTCCTCTCTTTGTTCTGCGTCATTGTCTTGGAGGAAATCTGTTGAATGGTTCTTTTTTTCCAGATCTCTTTGAGGCTGAATTGGGAGCCCGGAGAAAATGACGCAGCAGGTTGCTTGGGGCAGAGAGAGTGATGTATAAACTGACTGAATGCCGGGGTGTGACTCAGCCCTTGTGTGCAGATGTGGTTTGTGGTCGTATTAGGAGCTGACTTTTTTTTATTTTATTTTCCTTTCCCAGGAAAATTGCTTAATGGTAACTGGGAGGGATAGTTTTTTTTTCCCCCTTTCCTGCCAGACGTCGATGAAAGCAAAATTAATACTAAAAAAGTGTAAGGACCCACCCCACTTTGCATCTTAAGAAGACAGAACTCTTGGAATAATTCTTCCAACAGGAATCCTTTATTAAGAGAAGTGGTTGCAGGCATGCTAGACAGGACTTGGGGTTCAAGCTCTCCCATTCAAGGTTTTAAGGGGTTCCCCAGTAGTCCCACCCAATCAAACCCCCTTCCAGTGATAGTTTCAAGTATCACAATTCCACCCCTTTTCTTCTTTCTTCCGTCTGGATGGAGACTTCAGATAACTACATGAAAGGCAATTACCCTTCTTTGATATGCTAACGCTTAGAGGTCACAATAAACACACATTCATCATTCAGCCCTTTGAAGTGTACTGAAGGAAGTGAGGGCCATAAAGCCCCTTTGCTCTCCCCCTTCTCTCCCTCTTATGGCAGAATCCAGAGAAGGCAGAATTGGGAGTTTCTATATTTGATAATTAAAGATGAAATATAATTGGATTCTGACAAAAAGCTTGCGGGTAGGAGGAAATAGCCATCCCCGTCAGAAGGGGAACGTGGCTGGTTTGGTACTGATCTCAAGTTTATGAGTCCTGGGTGCTCTCTGAGCTTGGGTGGTTTTTTTGCAGACCTTTCATTACCCAACTAGGGAGGATCATCAGTGCTAGAAGTGAGTTGGATTTGTGGAGGAAGAGGAGGACAACTGTGGGGTCCTTGGTGCTCTCTGAGTTGGTGGTTTTCTTGCAGATGTTTCATTGCCCAGCTAGGTAATGTCAGCAGTGCTGGAAGAGAGTGGGGTTTACTCTCTGCGTATATAAAAATGGCTTACCCTATCAGTGTTGGTGGGAATGCTCTTGGTGGGTTCCTTGATTTGATCTAGTATTAATCTTGATAGATAGATGATCGATTGATAGATAAATGGATAGATGATAGAGAGAGATGATAGATAAATGATAGGCATATTGGTGGTTCCTTGATTGGGGTATTAAATACTGCCTGATGGTTGGTCTAGTATTAAGATAGATAGACATACAGATAGAGACAGTCAGACAGATAAAAAGACAGGCAGATAGACAGACATCAATTGTAGAGAATCTTTGTAGCTCAGGGATGAACTGTGGGGTCCTTGGTGCTCTTTGAGCTTGGGTGGTTTTTTTTGCAGACCTTTCATTACCCAACTAGGGAGGATCATCAGTGTTAGAAGTGAGTTGGGTTTATGAAGAGGAGGAGGAAGAGGAGGACAACTGTGGGGTCCTTGGTGCTCTCTGAGTTGGTAGTTTTCTTGCAGATGTTTCATTATCCAACTAGGGAACGTCATCAGTGCTGGAATGTTTAGGATTAGAGTGGGCAATCCCCACTCCTTCCTAGCACTGATGGCCTTTTCTAGATGGGTCATGAAACATCTGCAAGAAAACAACCCAGCCCAAGGAGAGAAGCAACCCAGAATTAAGGAGAAATTTCCTGGTAATGAGAACAATCAACCAGTGCAATAGCTTGCCTTCTGTGGTTGTAGGTGCTTCATCACTGGAGATGAAGAGGAGACTGGACAGCCACTTGTCTGGAATGGTCTAGGCAGGTCTCCTGCTTGAGCAGGGGGCTGGACTAGAAGACCTCCAGGGTCCCTTCCGCCTCTGTTATTCCGTTTAAAGAGATTGGACAGCCATTTGACGGGTTGTATAGGGCAGGGGTAGGGAATCTTGGCTCTCTTATGATTTGTGGACTTCAATACCCAGAATTCCTGAACCAGTCATGCTGACCCAGGAATTCTGGGAGTTGAAGTCCACAAGTCATAAAAGAGCCAAGGTTCCCTATCCCTGGTATAGGTTCTCCTTCCTTAAGAAGGCCTCCAAGACCCCTATGATTCTATGCCAGGGGTCTTCAAACTTGGCCCTTTGATGACTTGTGGACTTCAACTCCCAGAATTCCTCAGCCAGAGTGTCTGGCTGAGGAATTCTGGGAGTTGAAGTCCACAAGTCATCAAAGGGCCAAGTTTGAAGACCCCTGTTCTACGCTGATCACTTTTTAATGGTGACCCTCAGCTTTTACAACCCTGCCCTGTAGGACTTTTCCCCACTTCCGAAAGAGAGATTGTGTTTGTCAGTAGCTGTCAGAAAGTGATTTCAGCACCGGGGTAATGTATGCTTACTTAAGGCCTAGCGTTTCAGATCAGCTCCTTTTGATAATGTCTTGCAAATCTTTAATCGTATTGTTATGAAAGGCTGATGCATGACGTTGTTTTCTTTCGGTTGTGTTTTTATGGGGTGTTCCTCTGAAATCCATCAATGGCAAGAGTGAATTTGGCACAACAAAAGGGGCGAGCAGAGGCTAAAGTCTTACGATCTGGAACTTTTGGAAATAATGGGTGATTTGTTATCAATTCAGTTCAATTTTATTGATGGCCGAAAGAGCCAAATGCAATTTATAAATGTAATCAGAACCTGACCTTGGATAAAACACTTTAACATGTGACATACTTAATAACTACAGATACCCCTCGACTTAAAACTATTCGTTTAGTGCCTGTTCAAAGTTACAACTTTGAAAAAAAAATGTAAAAACCCAAAAAAAGAGAGAAAAGGTGACTTACAACCACTGCAGCATCCCCGTGGTTACATGATCAAAATTTAGACACTTGGCAACTGACATGTACTTATGACGGTTGCAGCATCCTGGGGTCCTGTGATCACCTTTTGTAACCTTCCCAGCTGGCTTTCAGCAAGCAAAGTCAATGAGGGAGTCTGGACTCACTTAACGACTAAAGGATTCACTTAAGAACCACATTGATTCACTTAACAATGGTGGGGAAAAGGTCTTAAAATCCACACAGCTTACTTTAAAACCACCCTGGTGAGCAACAGAAATGTTGATTTCAAATGCGGTTGTAAATTGAGGACAATCTATATCACAGAGTAGACTTAAAATCCCAACTCATTGACTCCTTACTAGAAGTTTTTTTTAATAGCTATAGTTAAATATCTGGCTATAGTTAAGTAAATATATTTAACCATAGCCATAGTTAAATATCTTATTCTGGCATGGTTTATATGAACTAGATTGTTCATATAAAGGTGAATATTTATATCTCAGAGTTCAAATGAGGAGTCCTTGGTGCTCTCGGAGCTTGGTTGTTTTCTTGCAGACATTTCATTACCCAACTAGGGAACATCATCAGTGCTAGAAGGGAGTGGGGTTGTGAAGAGGAGGACTGTGGAGTCCTTGGTGCTGTGAGCTTGATTGTTTTCTTGCAGATGTTTTATTACCAAACTAGGGAATGCCATCAATGCTAGAAGGGAGTGGGGTTGTGAAGAGGAGAACTGGAGGGTCCTTGGTGCTATAAACTTGATTGTTTTCTTGCAGTTGTTTCATTACCCAACTAGGGAATGCCATCAGTGCTAGAAAGGGTTGTGAAGAGGAGGAGGAGAACTATGGGCTGGCTCCTCAGTGCTGTCGGAGTACGGTTGCTTTCTTGCAGACGTTTCATGACCCAATTAGGTAACATCATCAGTGTTAGTAGCGAGTGGGGTTTGCTCTCAGTTTACCTTCCCGTGCCTTGCTCTGTCAGTGTCTTGGAAGTTCTTTGGTTGGGCTGTTTACTGTTAGCTTCTTTGGCAGTTCCTTGATTATAGTATCTTTTTATTCCCTTTTTGGTTTTTAGATTGTCTGTCTTGCGTAGTGTGTAGAAGTTGTTTATGTCTATGTGTCTGTTGATGGCCTGTTTGTCAGAGTGCCAGGCTTCTAGCTATTCTCTAGCCTTTTTGGATTTGGCTTGGTCTAGGATGGCCACTTAGAAAACACCCCCTCTCCCAGCAAGACCTAGAGAAGCACAGATTAACACCAAGATTAATCATCAGGCCAGCAATCAAGAAGTAAACAATACCCCAGCGGGCAGGGGGTTGGTCTAGAACAGGGGTCGGCAACCAGCCACTTGGACCTGTTTCCCACAGAAAAGAAAACACTGGGATGTGCTGGAGGAGGGGGCTTGATTGAAAAGTTTAATTAAAAAGAAATAGAGGCTGCTGTACATGAGTTCTCTTGCGCACGCTCTCTCTTTCTCTCTCTATCTCTCTCTCTCTTCTCTCTCTCCCTCCATCTCTCTCTCTCTCCCTTCCTCCCTCCCTCTCTTTCTCTTCCTCCCCCCTTCTCCCCCCCTCTCTCTGATCTTCTGCTCACCTGGCCAGCTGGCCTGACGCTATTCTCCGACAAGCTGACACTTTCTTATTGGGCTGGCTCTCTCCTGCCCTTGGTCTGCCAGTCCTCTTCCCCCACTCAGTGTGAGTGAGTGAGTGAGTGAGTGTGTGTATGAGAGAGAGAGAGAGAGAGAGAGAGAGAGAGAGAGAGAGAGAGAGAGAGAGAGAGAGAGAGAGAGAAATGCTGCTTTCTGCTGCTTCCTGTGGAGATGCAGCAAAGGCAGGAGCCCCGCCCAATAAGCTTGTCAGCTTGTCGGAGAACAGGCCACTCTCTTTTTTACAGAGAGAGGGAGAGAGAGAGAGAGAGAGAGAGAGAGAGAGAGAGAAGGGAAGCACAAGTGCCTGTCTCTGTCTCTCTCTCTCTGCAAATGGCGGAGGAGGACTGGGAACTGCAGGAGAAGGCTCAAAGAGCCACATGCGGCTCTGGTGAGAAGATCTCTGAAGTCTCTCCCAGCCTTGTCATTCCATGTTCTGCTGACCATAAAACCACGGCTTGTCTCTTGCAGATGGTCTTCCGGCCTCCACTGGATCTTTATGATGTCCTCATCCACCTGAACCCCAAGCAGATCCCCAGGTACCTGGAGGCCGTCGACCGGCCCACCTGGTCCTTCTATCGGGGGATGTTGAAGAGGAACAACAGCACAAAAACCATCTCTTTCCCAGTGGTGGATTTTGACCCCGTCCAGTGCTATCTGCAGGAGCTCCGAGTAAGTATCTGGCTTGATGAGCAGCTGGCCGCTCACCTTGAGAAGTTCAGCTGCAATCCTAACTCCGTGCAGGCAGTCCTCGACTTACGATGACAGTGGAGTCCAGAATCTCCCTTGCTAAGCAAAACACAGTTGTTAAGTGATTTCCCCCCCCCCCATTTTACGACTTTTCTTGCCGCAGTTGTTAAGCGAATCACCACAGTTGTTAAGTTGGTCACACAGTTGTTAAGTGAATCTGGCTTCCGCCATTGACTTTGCTTGTCCGAAGGTCACAAAAGGGGGTCACGTGACCCCGGGACGCTGCGACCATCGTAAGTATGAATCAGCTGCCAAGTGAATTTTGATCACATGACCACAGGGGGATGCTGCAACGGTTATAAGTGTGAAAAATGATCGTAAGTCCCTTTTTTTCAATGCTGTTGTAACTTTGAACAGTCACTAAACAAACTGTTGTAAACTGAGGACTATCTGTGTAAATCCCTCCATCCTCCACTATTCAGTCAGAACTGAAGAAGCCTCTTGGATGAGAAGCGAAAGCTCTTCAGGCAAAAGCAAGAAAGTCCAGGTGCCTTTCGGGGGGGGGGGGGGGAAAGCCCCTTTGGGATAACCAGGACCTGGATGACTGAGAACATCCATAGACAATTAGCCCAGGGAACATTTTTGCCATTTTAGATATACAGGTGGTCCTCGACTTAAAACCACAGTGGAACCCAGAATTCATGTTGCTAACTGAGAGATTTGTTACGTGGGTTTTGCCCCATTTTACGACCTTTCTTGCCATAACTGTTAAGTGACTCACTGCAGTTGTTAAATTAGTAAACTTCCTGACAGTGAGGATAATTAACCAGTGGAACAACTTGCTTCCAGAAATTGTGGGTGCTCCCTCACTGGAGATTTTTAAGAAAAGGCTAGACAGTCACTTGTCTGGGATGGTATAGGTTCTCCTGCTTGAGCAGGGGGCTGGACTAGAAGACCTCCAAGGTCCCTTCCAGCTCTATTCTATTCCATTCCATTCCATTCCATTCTATTCTATATCCTATTGCTTATTCTATTGTATTCTATTCTATTCTATTCTGTATCCTATTGCTTATTCTATTCTATTCTACATCCTATTGCTTATTCTATTCCTATTCTATTCTGTTCTGTTCTATTCTATTCTATTCTATTCTACTCTACTCTACTCTACTCTACTCTACTCTACTCTACTCTATTCCCTATTGCTTATTCTACTCTACTCTACTCTACTCTACTCTACTCTACTCTACTCTACTCTACTCTATTCTACTCTACTCTACTCTACTCTACTCTACTCTATTCTATATCTTATTGCTTATTCTACTCTACTCTATTCTATTCTGTTGTATTCTATTCTGTTCTTTCTAATTTCCATTTCCTATTCTATTCTATTCTATTCTATTCTATTCTATTCTATTCTATTCTATTCTATTCTATTCTATTCTATTCTATTCTAGTAACACGGTCGTTAAGTGAATCCGGCTTTCCCCCTTGACTTTGCTTGTCAGAAGATCGCAAAAGGAGATCACGTGATCCCCGGGACACAGCAACCGTCCTAAATATGAACCAGTTGCCAAGCGTCTGAATGTAAATCACGTGGCTGTGGGGATGCTGCAACGGTCGTAAGAGAGAAAAAGGGTCATAAGTCACTTTTTTCAGTGCTGTTGTTAACTTTGAACGGTCACTAAATGAACTGTTGTAAGCCGAGGACTACCCGTACCTCAGGATGAACGTGATCCTCGGTCTTCAACAAAGCCACAGCAAGGGTGTGTTCTCCCCCCCCCCCCTCTCCCAGCCTTTTTGCAGTCTTGTGAAGTGACCGACATTGTCCTAAATCGGGTTTATTTCTCTGGATCTAGTCAGATGATGTTTTCTTAATCACCCTATTAATGCCACAGGGTGATTCAGAGGCTATGGAAGCAATGTAGTGCAGAAGGCTTTCAGAAATGGGGCAAGCGATTCACGAGGAATTCTCTGATCCTGAGAGGGAAACAGATCAGGATAGAACCTGTTTTATCCTGTTCTTGCACAGATGTCCATCTTTTGTAAGAGAGACACCACAACCTTTTTTGCATGTCACTGGATTGTCTGGTTGGGCCTTGATCAATCCCTTATTCCTGGTTTTGTGGTGACAGCGTCTCTGACGCAATTGTGTGCGGTCTGGATTGAGCAACCTACAGCTCACCCATAGTTTTGACACCAAAGGATCTTTCTCCCTATGTTGGCAGTCTCTATAAACACACAGATGATTATTTTTTTTTAATACAAATTGTTTTTGATGGGACACTAGAAGATTGAGACACACTCAAGTTAATGTGTGACACATTTATGTGTCACAATATTTTTATTTATTTATATTCTGGCTTGGAGATTTTTAAGGATAACTCCAGGCAGCGGACATACCTAATACTCTTTCCTCCTCCTATTTTACCCACAACCACAATCCTGCAAGGTGGGTTGGGCTGAGAGAGGGGGACAGGCCCAAAGTCCCCCAGCCAATTTGAATGACTAAGGTAGGGCCAGAACTCACCGTTCTCTTGATGATTTGGCCCAAAGTCAACAAGCCAACTTTCAGGGCTAAGGTGGGGTCAGAACTCACCGTCTCCTGGTGATTGGCCCAAAGTCACCCATCTGGCTTTCATGCCTAAGCGTGAAACTAGAACTCACCGTCTCCTGGTAATTAGCCAAAAGTCACCCAGCTGGCTTTCATGCCTAAGTGTGAAACTAGAACTCACCGTCTCCTGGTGATTGGCCCAAAGTCACCCAGCTGGCTTTCATGCCTAAGCGTGAAACTAGAACTCACCGTCTCCTGGTGATTGGCCCAAAGTCACCCAGCTGGCTTTCATGCCTAAGTGTGAAACTAGAACTCACCGTCTCCTGGTAATTGGCCCAAAGTCACCCAGCTGGCTTTCATGCCTAAGCGTAAAACTAGAACTCACTGTCTCCTGGTTTGTAGCTTGGCACCTTCACCACTAGAGCAAACTGGCAACTGGCTCTCAGCCATTAATCATCTCATTCTCTCAATTAGCAGGATTATGTCATACACCTGCTAGTTGATGGAATACTACCGTATTTATAAGATGACTTCCAAGGTGCAATCTCGAGATTAGGGTACCCATCATTTAGGTGGCTGTGGGTAAGCGTGAAAGTAGAAACGGTTCGATGGGTGAGGGCTGCATATTAACCTTCCGACGACTGAAGGAATCGGAGAAAAAAATAGGCAATATTCTAATCTAAATCAATATGATCCTGGGGGGGGGGTGATTATTAGCTGACTGAATGGAGCAAAGGAACAGAGGACACTTCAGGAAAAGTGATTGAGTTATTTGGAGATCTAAGAATTGAATGAGAATGCAGTTTGGAGATCACCCATTTTGTGATGGTCAGGAAAATTAAGGATGGTGGAGGAGAAATATTTATTACTATGGGTTAAGGCAGTGGCTCTCAACCTTTTTAATGCCGCGGCCCCCAACCGGTTGTAAGTCGAGGACTAAACCGGTCATAAGTTGAGGACTTTCCCTGCCCGGGAGCGCCGCACATGCGTGGTGCTGCCCCCTGCGCCAGCCGAGGCATAACTGGTATGCAGCAGAGACGGATCAGGCCGAGCACCGGCTGGGCCACCAGCTGGCCCAGCCCAAGGGAGGTAAGGCACCCGCTGGAAAAGGGGAAAAAAATGGCGGACAGCCTTGTTTGGCGACCACCATGAAATGGTCGATCGACCCCAAATGGGGTCGCGACCCATAGGTTGAGAACCGCTGGGTTAAGGCATTGGGCTAGAAAGCAGGAGACAATGAGTTCTAGTCCTTCCTTAGCCAGGAAAACCACCCAGGTGACTTTGGGCCAATCAATGGGAGATCGCGAATTCTAGTCCTGCCTTAGGCATGGACGCCAGCTGGGTGATTTTGGGCCAATCACTCTCTCTCTCAGCCCATCCCACCTCACTGTGTTCTTATTGTGGGGAAAATAGGAGGAGGAGGGTGTGTTGGATATGTTTGCCGCCTTATTTATAAAAATAATAAAGGTGGGATGGATGGATGGATGGATGGATGGATGGATGGATGGATGGATGGATGGATGGATGGATAAAAAAATAAGTAGGATCCAATTTGGTTCGGTCACCGGGATGAGAGGTTTTGTCTTCTGAGCTTTCAGATTTGTGCTGGAGCCCATCCTTGGGGAGCTTCTCTGTGTGCTCTGGGCTGTTATTTATAAATCAATCAGTCAGCTGGAGATTTTCTTTCCTGATACGTTTGCTGCCTTATTTTTAAAAATAATAAAGATGGGATGGATGAAAGAAAGATAGATGGATAGACAGATAGACAGACAAACAGACAGGTGGACGGAGGGATGGATGGACGGACGGACGGACGGACAGAGATAGATAAATAAATAGGTGGACAGATGGATAGACGGACAGACAAACAGACAGATAGTTAGATAGGTGGATGGACAGACAGATAGATAGATAGATAGATAGATAGATAGATAGATAGATAGATAGATAGATAGATAGATAGATAGATAGATAGGTGGATGGACAGACAGATAGATAGATAGGTGGACAGGCGGACGGACGGATAGACAGATAGGTGGATAGATAAATAGGTGGACAGACGGATGGACGGCAGACATAGATAGGTGGATGGACAGACAGACGGGTGGATGGATGGATGGAGAGAGAGAGGTGAGTGGATGGATAGATAGATAGATAGATAGATAGATAGATAGATAGATAGATAGATAGATAGATAGATAGATGGACAGGCGGGTGGACGGGTGGATGGATGGACGGAGAGAGAGAGGGAGAGAGAGATGGACAGACAGACAGATAGATAGACAGATAGGTGGATGGACAGACAGACGGATGGACGGCCGGATAGACAGACAGATAGATAGGTGGACGGATAGACAGACAGACAGATAGATAGATAAGGGATTTTCTTTCCTGATCAGAAACTCTCAAAAATTGAGATCTAGGTTATTAGAAACCCTTTCAGTTCATTGCGCCAAAAAAATCCTCTTGAACGGTTAATCCCAAAATGGGGTTATTTCAGCAGCCGGATCAAGCCTGTTTTGTCAGTGGGCTTTGATCTTGCCCTCCAGTGGCGTTGGCTAGGTGCGAACGCCCCTTTTGCCAGGATTTGGGGAACTTATTTTCTTTTTTTAAGCCTTTTAAAAAGAATTAATAAAGGACCCCACCCAGATTGAATGGGTGTGCCTTGACAGGACTCTGCCTCGGGCGTGCCCCACGACTTGCGAAACATACGTCAAATCTTGTAGGAAAAGTTCAAAAAAGATTCTAAAAATGAGAAGCCTGTAAGAAGGAGGTCTACGCAAGGCACTCGTCCCCATTGGAGCCCAAAATCTCCATTGTTAAGCAAGACAGTCGTTAAGTGAATTCTGCCCCATTTTGCAATCACCGTCGTTAAGCGAATAACTGCACTTCTTGAGTGAGGAACACGGTTGTTAAGCGACCCTGGCTTCCCCATCGACTTTGCTCATCAGAGGGTTACAAAAGGGGACCCCGGGACACTGCGACCGTCATAAATACGAGTCAATTGCCAAATGTCTGAATTTTGATCACGTGGCCCTGGGTGCTGCAACGGTCGTAAATGTGAAAAACTGTCATAAGTCACTTGTTTTAGTGCCATTGAAAGTTTGAACGGTCACTAAACGAACGGTTGTAAGTCGAGGATTACCTGTACAGGGTATGGTCATTACAAATCAAGATGGCCGCTGTGGCTGATTTTTATTTTTTTTTATGTGTGCCACACTGTGGCTCTGGGAAATAACCAAGATCAGGGGTAGGCCACCTTGGCTCTTTTATGACTCGTGGACTTCAATTCCCAGAATTCCTGAGCCAGCCATGCTGAGGGGAAAGAGAGGTTTCCAAGCTGAGCCAGGGGTGGCTCAGGAATTCTGGGAGTTGAAGTCCACGAGTCATAAAAGAGCCAAGGTTGCCTACCCCTGACCAAGAGCAAATCCAATTTAGCTTAAAAAGAAAGAGGAAGAAATCAAAAAGGGATTAGTAAGATTCTTGCTTCAGCTTGTTACTTAAAAGGCTCTTAACCCCGACTTAGGGCTTTCTTCTGAGCGCACAAAAGCAAGTCTCCCTTAGGCTGAAATTAGTGCCTTGTGAGTAGAGAGATCAGCTTCCCAGCTGAGCCAAGAGCCTGTAGGTTTCATGGTGGTCTCCCATTCATACTCTAATCCAGTGTTCCAGACAGGCGGACATCAAGACCCAGAAACACCAAGATAGAAAACAACAGCCCCATCATGTCAAGGGCAAACTACTGTAGGTAAACAGAAAGCCAACTCTCCGCCTTTCTGGCACTGATAATGTTACCTAGTTGGGTCATGAAATGTCCAAAAAAAAAAAAAAAACCCTACCAAGCTCAGAGAGCACTAAGGACCCCTCAGTCCTCTCCTCTTCCTCCTCCTCCCCTTCACCCTCCTCCTTTATAGCACTGATGACATTACCTAGTTGGGTCATGAAATGTCTGCAAGAAAACCATCAAGCTGAGAGAGCACTAAGGAGTCCACAGTTCAACCCTGAGTACAGATATTCTTCTAACTCTGTCTCTGTCTGTCTGTCTGTCTGTCTGTCTGTCTATTTATTTATCCATCTCTCTCTGTCCATCCATCCCATCTACCCACCCACCCACCTGTCTGTATCTATCTATCTATCTATCTGTCTGTCTATTTATTTATCCATCATCTCTCTCTGTGTGTCCATCCATCCATCCCGCCCGCCCGCCCACCCACCTACCTACCTACCTACCTACCTACCTACCTACCTACCTATCTATCTATCTATCTATCTATCTATCTATCTATCGTCTGTCTCTGTCTATCATTATTTATCTACCCACCTGATAATCTAGCTAGCTATCGTCTCTTTCTATACCTCCCTCCCCTCCCTACATACGTACATACCTCAGCCTAATTAAGGAACTACCAAGAACATTTCCACCATCACTGGTAGAGCCAACCCCACTTCCTTCTAGCACTGATGATGTTCCCTAGCTGGGTCATAAAACTACTGCAGCGAAGAAACAGCCAAACTCACGAGAGTACCAAGGACCCGTAAGTGTGAAAGGTTTTAGACCAGTGGTTCTCAACCTTCCTAATGCCGCGACCCTTTAATACAGTTCCTCATGTTGTGGTGACCCCCAACCATAAAATTATTTTCGTTGCTACTTCATAATTGTCAGTTTGCTACTGTTATGAATCATAATGTAAATATCTGATATGCAGGATGTATTTTCATTGTTACAAATTGAACATAATTAAAGCATAGTGATTAATCACAAAAACAATATGTAATTATATATTGTGAAATATTTATTTCTAATTACAAATAAATGAAATTTTGTCTGGAAGCATGGGTGCCGAATCACACCTTCAGCTGTTCCACCTATGGCTCTGAAGGGAAACCTGACCTTTTCTCCCCTTGCCCTACAACACACACACATACACAAACACATTTTCCAGGGCCATGTGATCGCCTTTTGCAACCTTCTGACTAGCAAAGTTAGTGGGGAAATCAGATTCACTTAAGAACCATATTACAAATTTAATCTCTCTCTCCCTCTTTCTTTCTCCCTCTCTCCCTTTTTCTCTCTCTCTCTCCCTTTCTCTCTCTCTCTCTCTCTTTCCCTTACTCTCCCCCCTCTTTCTCTCTCTCTCTCTCCCTCTCTCTCCCTCTTTCTCTTTCTCCCTCTTTCTTTCTCCCTCTCTTTCTCTCCCTCTCTTCCTCCCTCCCTCCCTCTCTGTCCGATCGGGGATCGATTTGGAGGTGCGGAACTTTTGACCAGTTCCTACCCTCTGTTGTGGAGGTTATTGACTGGGTACGAGCAGTCTGGGAAGCTTGGGCGGCCCAGCCAGCCTACAAAGGTTGGAGGAGAACTTGGGACGGAAGTCCACGAAAGCCCCGAGCTTCTCTAGCTGCCAAATAAAGCAAGGGTGAGCAGGCCGGCCGGTTGGCTGGTACGAGCAAGCGAGTGGGCGGCCCACCCATCTCTTAAGTGCGCTGGCTTCCCCTGGATGAGCGGCGGCTCTCACCTGCCGCTTTCTTCAGTCGGCGACAATAAAAGTGGGGGCGGGGGGGGGTTGGTCCCTCTCCCCCAGTGCCATTAAAAGGCAGAATCGTTGCTGGGGGAGCAAAAAGTGTGAGGCTGGCTCGCCAAGTTCAGTGAGAAGGAGGCTCCCTTGCTTGCTCCGCATAGCCCCGCCGCCCTCTCGGCCCAGCACGAGTTGAAGCGGCGAAGTGAAGTAGTGGGCGTCACTACCGCAGGGGAAGGAGCCAGAGGAGGCGGGTGCCGACGGGGCCCTGGATCAGCTGGAGGGCGTCGCAGTTACTCCCGGAAGCCTGCGGGAGCGGTGAGCTACCGAGGGCCGCTCAGGCAGAGAGACTTGAAGGCTGCGATGGGACGGGAGCCCCCCCCAATATCCCGCCTTTGGATTGGCACGACTGGGAGTGTTTCGGGGCAGAGTCGCCCCACCTGCCCTCCAGCGGTCGGCGAGAAGCTCCCGCCCCAATGTAGTCCGGACAACGGGGAGGGGGCTTGGCAACCCCTATGAAAGGGTCGTTCGACCCCCCAAAGGGTCGTGACCCACAGGTTGAGAACCGCTGTTTTAGAACAAAGCCTCCATCTAGGAGTTAAAAGAGACACCTTCAATGTAAGGTAGACTTCACTTGTCCTGTTGCAAGCTCGGGGTCACCCTCTCCGTGTGTCTGCGTGAAAAGTCAAGATGGCAGTTGCAACCTTGCGATCGTGAAGGTTGATTGAACTTGGAGATGTGGGCAGTTTCCTTTAATGAAAACCTTTCTTATTGCAGGAAGCCTTTAGTGACTTTGCCCTGTTCTTCTATGACAAATATGGAGGAGATGTTATTGGGGTCCTCTGGAAGCCTTCGGCCTTTGAACCGCAGCCCTTCAAGGTGAGCCCCCAACTCTTGACCCAAAGGTGCTTTTTCAAGAGGCAACTAGACTTCCTTGTTTTATCTTTGAAGATGTTTCGCTTTTCATCCAAGAAGCTTCTTCAGCTCTGACTGGATGATGGGGAATGGCAGGATTTATACTCCTTGCAGACAGCTGGTCATTTGCGCTCTTTTAGAGAGTCGTTGATGCCACTTGGAGGTTTGTCTGCGTCCTCACGGTCACCTGAGTAGTGCAAGTGTGTGTGGAGCCTTGGAACTCCTGAAAGGACTGTGTTGTAGACTGGAGTGAGATGATGTCATTGTTCTATCCCAGCCTATAGCCGCCCTTGTTAAAGGCACAAGGACCAAATCCCTGTTGATAAAATAGGCTGGAGACTTAAAACAAAACAAACCCCTTTTAATATGGGTGACAAACCTGCCCAATAGTCCAAAACATAAACAGCAAAACTCAATCCAAATGAAGGAAATAATCTACAGGAAACACGATGCAAACAGAAGAGTAGTCACAGGCAAGACGAACAGACCAGGATCCCAAGAAGTACTTTGCAAACAGTTGCCTTCAGCAACCAGCACCGCCCACACCTCGTCTTTTTATATAGCAGTCCCAAGGCGTGGCCTCTCAGTGCCTTCTCCTTTTACCCTGGAGTTGCCGTATTGACTGCTGCTGATTTACTCTTGCTAATTGACGACGTGTGTGAGCATCAATTAGCATGTCCATCAGATGTGAGTCCTCCGAGTCTGACTCATTCTCCTCATAGCTGAGCTTCATCAGGAACACGACTGGAGGGCCCAGGCTCTGCATCAAACCGTGAGTCCTGTAATTCATCAGAGCCTCCCTCTGCCCCTGATGGCCCTTCAAACGCCTCCTCCACCTCCTCAGACTTAGCTGTTGGGAGCACAGGCTGGCACAGAATCACAACAGTCATATTCTTCCCCCTCTGTTGAGAGAGGGTTGTTCAATTTTGAGATAGATGGCCTCTTTGACCCCTCTTTCAAACCAGCTGTCCTCTCTGTCCAAAATGTGGACTTTGCTGTTTTCGAAAGAGCGGCCTTTGTCTTTCAAATGCAGATGGACTGCTGAATCTTGTTCTGATGGGTTTGTTCTCCTATGTTGTGCCATGCGTTTGTGAGGTGGTTGTTTTGTTTCCCCAATGTACAGATCTGCACGTGTCTCACTGTATTGTACTGCATATACCACATTGTTCAGTTTGTGTCTGGGTGTTTGTCTTTGGGGTGGACAAGCCTCTGCCTCAGTGTATTAAAAGTGTGCACGTATGTTGTGTTAGCTGAAGATGACCCTGAAGAAGATTATTCAGGTGACCTTGAGGACACGTAAACCTCCAAGTGGCCTCAACGACTCTCTGAAAGAATGCAAATGACCAGCTGTCTTCAAGGAATATAAATTCCACATTTTAGACAGAGAGGATTGCTGGTTTGAAAGGGGGGTCAAAGAGGCCATCTAGGTCAAAACTGAACAGCCCTCTCTCAACAGAGGGGGGAGGGATATGAGACCACCCATCTCCTGTTTACAACACAGTCCTTTCAGCAGTTCCGAGAAGGCTCCACAGCCATTTGCATCACTCAGGTGACCCTGAGGACACAGATAAACCTCCAAGTGGGCTCAACGACTCCCTAAAAGAAGGCAAATGACCAGCTGTCTTCAAGGAATATAAATCCTTCCATTCCCTACCATCCAGTCAGAGCTGAAGAAGATTCTTGGATGAGAAGCGAAACATCTTCAAAGAAAAAAAAAAGAAAGTTCAGTTGCCTTATTGAAAAGCACTTTTGGGATAGCACTGATGATGTTACCTAGTTGGGTCATGAAATGTCTGTAAGGAAACAACCAAGCTCAAAGAGCACCAAGGACCCCATAGTCCTCCTCCTCCTCTTCCTCCTCCTTCCTGCCAACCCCACTCCCTTCTAGCACTGATGATGCTACCTAGTTGGGTCATGAAATGTCTGCAAGGAAACCACCAAGCTCAGAGAGCACCAGCGGCTGCAGGATTCCAATGTGTAAGTTTTTGTTGAAGTATATTTGCTTTGTTTTATCACAAAAGGTAAAATACAAAATAGAAAAACAAACATACAACCAGCACTAGCAACAACAAAAAGGGGAAAAAATGGTGTACAAAAAAAGAGAGAAAAAGATGATCCAAATAGCAAATAGCAAAGAAAATTTAACATTTAATATATAGCAGTGGTTCTCAACCTTTTTAATGCCGCGACCCCCCACTGGTCATAAGTCGAGGACTACTCAACCGGTCGTAAGTCGAGGACTACTCAACTGGTGTAGCACGTTTGCAGAATGGGACTTTTGACGGGCTCATCAGGGCAGAGACAGCCTGGACTATTCCTATTGGCTTTTGAACGCCAATAGAATTAGACTCTATTCAAGAGAGTCTATTCTATTGGCTTTCAAAAGCCAATAGAATAAAAGGGAGTAGCACAACTAAGGAAAAGGGGGGGAAAATGGCAGACTGTATTGTTTGGCGACCCCCGTGAAATGGTCGTTCGACCCCAAGTGGGGTCCCGACCCACAGGTGGAGAACCACTGGTATATAGAATCCATCCCAGCTGGATGCTTTAAAAAAAAGAAAAAAGCAGTAAATTCTCGTCCCCTTTTTACAAATATATAGGTTCCAATGTATAGTTGGAGCCCTATTTGGCAGCCACCATTTTAACCTGCTTCTTTTCATTCCACTAGGTGTCAAACATTAACGGGAGGATGATGTCCAGATTAAGTTCTCAGCCAATGGTGGTTCCAAACGTGGAAGCCATTTTGGAAGACTTCCAGATCTTGGGGAAAGGCCTGGTCAAAAGGGTGGAAGCTCGGACAGAGAAATGGTCCATCTGAAACCATCTGGGCTCCTCCATGGATTTGGAACTGTTGAGGCTGTGTTCTTCTCCCCCATAACTTTTTTTCTTCAAGATTTTTTTTTCTTGGATTTTTTTTAAAAAGTTTTATTGATTTTCTCGTTTTTCATTTAAATATTTTAAAAGCAACGTGGCAGCTGAGTGAATCGATAATTCAATAACATACAGATAACTTTAGTACCCGTCTCAAGCTATTACATTAAATATTTCCTCCCTTTCCCCCTTAGTGTTTCCTGTCTCGTGTTTAAACTAATAACAATTCTTATTATATCAATTGAATAAAAATAACTTTCTTACATTTATCAATAATTTTTAGCTTATACACATCCTAGTTCTTTTAACAGTCAATCTTTATATAGGCTATCAATGTCCTAATTTGTTTTTCCCAATTTTTAGTTTCCCATTACTATTTACATTTAACATTTAATATTTATAATTTCCAAGTTTTAAATAACCACAGCTCCCTTCATCCCAATTCATCACAAAACCTAATGTTCAGGATGCACATCTTATCTATCTGAATATATTCTATTTCTCACCATCTTACATCAGCTAATTAATAATACAGTACCACATTCTTATTTTCTATTAATTTCCAAATGTCTTAAGTTTAGTAACCAATATTTCTCTTATTTCAACATTAGATACTGAAATCAAACACTCCTTCCATCCTGTTTGCCTCCAGTCAGTTCAGAGGAGCCTGACTCCTCCAATAAAGGACTTTATTAAAAAATAATAATAAATTTCTCCTCCGGTTAAAGAAAATACTAGAAAATTACTCTTCGTTCATGGAGTAGAACTCAAATCAAGCCGTCGCTCCTTTTTTCTCCCTTCCTGGAAGAAAAAATAAGATTATAATAGAGGAGTTAAATGGAGATTGGATTTAAGAAGCAAGGCCTGGGTGAAATCTGGTGAGGGCTGAGGTCACGAGGTCATCCGGAACACGGATCCCCAACCTTTTTGGCCCAAGAGATTGATTTTGTAGAAGACAATTTTTTCATGGACTGGGCCAGTAAGAGGAGGGGAGTGTCACCTAGATCCCACGCATGTGCAGTTTTGCTCGCCTGTCGCTCACTTCCAGGTGTGTAAACCGGTTTGTAACAGGCCATGGACCAGGAGTTGGGGACCTCTGATCCAGAACAGGGCCTGATTTTGACAGCCACTCTAGGAAGCTACACTTGATGAACCCACTTCTCATTCTCATGTTGAATAATCGCCCAAGTTTATTATCTGGCTATAAGAAAACTGCTGTTGGTCACTCCCTTGACTTTATTATTTCCTTCTCAAAAAATAATCACCCTAAAGAATGGATAGAAGTTAAAAGGCCTCTGATAACCCCCCCCCCACTCCTATATCTGCATATCTGTGCCAGAAAAACATGTTAAAACCAGCACATAACGTAAACCACCCGCTACACGTGTACACACCAAAAACCAATTCCCCTATAAAACGAAGTCCCTGCACCTTTTTTTCTGTATAGTCTACCCTCAAGATGAGAGCTTTTGTTCTTGAAAATAAAATCTTTTTTGCAGTATGTCTCGATATCATTTCATTTTCTTTGATTGGATCTTGCTCCACCCGGGTTTGTGGGAACCCAGAATGATTGAGAACCCCCAAATTATTATTCTAACATGGAAGAAGATACAGGCTGCGGTGGTGGAAGTGTGGGTCCTCCATTGCTGGAGGTTTTCAAAAATAGACTGGACAACCCATTTGACCGAGATGTCATCAGTCATCCAGGTCACGGTTGTCCCAAAAGTGCTTTTTCAAAAGGCAACTGGACTTTGTTTTTCCTTGAAAATGTTTCACTACCCATCCAAGAAGCTTCTTCAGCTCTGACTGAATCCATGATCCTTCCATCCTTCGCCATTTGGTTAGAGCTGAAGAAGCTTCTTGGATGAGAAGTGAAACGTCTTCAAAGAAAAAGCAAAGTCTTGTTGCCTTTTGCAAAAGCACTTTTGGGACATTGGATCTGGATGGTATAAGATCTCCTGCCTTAACAGGATTGGACTAGAAGATCTCTGAGGTTCCTTCCAGCCCTGGGATTCTGTGTTCTATGGCCTTCCTCTATGCAGGAAAACCAAGCCATTGCTACAAGAACAGAACAAGAATAGAATAGAATAGAACTGGAGACTAAAACATATAAGGAAAGGTTGCTGGAATTGGGTACGTCTAGTTTAATGAAGAGAAGGATGGGGGGGGGGACATGATAGCAGCTTTCCAGTATCTCAGGGGCTGCCACAAAGAAGAGGAAGTCAAGCTATTTTCCAAAGCGTCTAAAGGCAGGACATGGAAACTAAGCAAAGAGAGAAGCAACCTAGAACTAAGGAGAAACTTCCTGACTGAGAACAATTAATCAGTGGAACAGCCTGCCACCAGAAGCGGTGAATGCTCCAACACTGGAAGTTTTTAAGAAGAGACTGGACAGTCATTTGTCCGAAATGGTGTAGGGTTTCCTGCCTGAGCAGGGGGTTGGATTAGATGACCTCCAAGGTCCCTTCCAACTTTACTATTATTATGAATAGAATAGAACAGAACAGAATAGAGTAGAATAGAAATTTTGGAAAGGACCTTGGAGGTCATCTAGTCCAACCCCGCTGCTCAGGCAGGAAACAATACCATTTCAGACAAATGGTTGTCCAATCTCTTCTTAATACCTTCCAGTGTTGGAGCATTCACAATTTCTGGAAGCAGGTTGTTCCACTGATTAATTGTTCTAACTCTCAGGAAGTTTCTCCTTAGTTCTAGGTTGCTTCTCTCCTTGATTAGTTTCCATCCGTTGCTTCTTGTCCTGCCTTCAGGCGCTTTGGAGAATAGCTTGACTCCTTTGTGGCAGCCCCTGAGATATTGGAAGACATGTCCCCCCTCATCCTTCTGGTTCATTAAACTAGACATATCCAAGTCCAGCAACCGTTCCTTATATGTTTTAGGCTCCAGTCTCCTGATCATCTTTGTTGCTCTTCTCTGCACTCTTTCTAGAGTCCCAACATTTTTTTTACATCGTGGTGACCAAAACTGGATGTAGTGTTCCAAGTGTGGCCTTACCAAGGCCTTGTAAAGTGGCATTAACTCTTCACGTGATCTTGATTCTCTCCCTCTGTTAATGCAGCCTAATACTGTGTTGGCCTTTTTGGCAACTGCAACACACAGCTGGCTCCTATTTAAGTGATTGTCCACTAGGACTTCGAGGTCCCTCTCACAGTTACTACTACTGAGCCAGAGCCTATACTGTACCTGTGCAATTGGGTTTTTTTGCCTAAACGTAGAACCCTACTTACCCAAGAGATGGGTAATGTTGACGACACTGCTAAATTGCAACACCTAGAGTGCCTTAAGTGTTTGAGGTTGTTTTGAGGCTGGCAGAAATTCTCCTTTAGCAACATCCGGAAGACAGTGAATTTAACTTGACAAGATTCCAGCAATGTTGACATGTTCAGCTGCAGCCTAACCCTTTAAAGCAGCGGTTCTCAATCTGTGGGTCGCGACCCCTTTGGGGGTCGAATGACCCTTTCACAGGGGTCGCCAAGACACCCCCCCCCCGTTGTCCGGACTACACTGGGGCAGGAGTTTCTCGCCGACCACTAGAGGGCAGGTGGGGCGACTCTGCCCCAAAGCGCTCCCAGTCGCGCCAATCCAAAGGCGGGATGTGGGGGGGGGGCTCCCATCCTGTCGCAGCCCTGAAGTCTCTGCCTGAGCGCCCCTCGGTAGCTCACTGCTCCCGCAGGCTTCCGGGGGTGACCGTGACGCCCTCCAACTGATCCAGGACCCCGTCGGCGCCCGCCTCCTCTGGCTCCTTCCCCCGCAGCAGCGACGCCCACTTCGCCTCGTCGCTTCCCCTTGCGCTGGGCCAAGAGAGCGGTGGGGCTGTGCGGAGCAAGCGAGGGAGCCTCCTTCTCTCCTAGCTTGGCGAGCCAGCCTCACCCTTTTCGCTCCCCCGGCAACGATTCAGCTGTCAATGCTGCAAATATTGTATATTCTTGCTTTTGACAATATGTAGAATTGTCTGGTAATTATGGGGTTAATGCAGAGCAGAAGGGGGGTTGGGGGTAAAGCCCGGGAAAGGAAGAGGAAGAGAACTTAGATCCTAGCGTCCCTCCGTTGTGCCTGTGCCGACATTTTGTAAGAATAAAAGACTTTTAGGAAAATAAATGCCTGGAAATTCTTTGGAATGTTTCATTATTTATTTATTTATTTATGAGACTTATATACCGCTTTAAATGCAAGCACTCTCTAAGCGGTGTACACCAGTAAGCAATGTATATATATATTTACATTGCCCCCAACAATCTGGGTCCTCATTTTACCTACCCCGGAAGGATGGAAGGCTGAGTCAACCTTGAGCCGGTGAGATTTGAACCGCTGACCTGCTGAACACAGTCAGCTAAAGTGGCCTGTAGTACTGCACCCTAACTGCTGCACCACAACATCATGCTAGGATCTAAGTTCTCTTTCTCTTTCTTTCCCGGGCTTTACCCCCAACCCCCCTTCTGCTCTGTATTAACCCCATAATTACCAGGCAATTCTACATATTGTCAAAAGCAAGAATATACAATATTTGCAGTGTTGACATCTGCCTTTTAATGGCACTGGGGGAGAGGAACCAACCCCCGCCCCCACCTTTATTGCCGCCGACTGAAGAAAGCGGCAGATGAGAGCCGCTGCTCGTCCAGGGGAAGCCGGCGCACTTAAGAGACGGGTGGGCCACCCGCTCGCACCAGCCAGCCGGCCGGCCGGCCAACCTGCTTGCCCTTGCTTTACTTGGCAGCTAGAGAGGCTTGGGGCTTTGGTGGACTTCCGTCCCAGGTTCTCCTCCAACCTTTGTAGGCTGGCTGGGCCGCCCAAGCCTCCCAGACTGCTCGTAACCAATCAATAACCTCCACAACAGAGGGTAGGAACCGGTCAAAAGTTCCACACCTCCAAATCGATCCCTGATCCGACAGAGAGGGAGGGAGGGAGGGAGGAAGAGAAAGAGAGAGGGAGAAAGAGAAAGAGGGGGAGAGAGAGAGAGAGAGGAAGGGAAAAAGAGGGGGGAGAGAAAGGGAAAGAGAGAAAGAGAGGAGAGAGAACTAGAGGGAGAGAGAAAGGGAGAGAAAGAGGGAGAGAGAAAGAAAGAGGGAGAGAGAGATTAAATTCGTAACATGGTTCTTAAGTGAATCTGGTTTCCCCACTAACTTTGCTAGTCAGAAGGTTGCAAAAGGCGATCACATGACCCTGGAAAAATGTGTTTGTGTATGTGTGTGTGTGTTGTAGGGCAAGGGGAGAAGAGAAAAGGTCAGGTCTCCCTTCAGAGCCATAGGTGGAACAGCTGAAGGTATGATTCGGCACCCATGCTTCAAGACAAAATTTCATTTATTTGTAATTAGAAATAAATATTTCACAATATATAATTACCTATTGTTTATGTGATTAATCACTATGCTTTAATTATGTTCAATTTGTAACAATGAAAATACATCCTGCATATCAGATATTTCCATTAGGATTCATAACAGTAGCAAAATTACACTTATGAAGTAGCAACGAAAATAATTTTATGGTTGGGGGTCACCACAACATGAGGAACTGTATTAAAGGGTCGCGGCATTAGGAAGGTTGAGAACCACTGCTTTAAAGGAAGAGTTCCATCCAGCTGTTTGTTTAGTGCTGATATGCACAGATAAAGCTAGAACCCTGTTCTACTGAGGGGGGAGAATCAGCCATAGTTGCTGTCCCACCTTTGACCAGTGCAAGAGAGAAAATTCAATATAGTCATATAGTCCTCGATTTATGACTGGTTGCTTAGTAACCAGTGAAGATTATGATGGAACTCTGGGGGGTTTACTTATGACCAGTTGAGAAGTTCTAATGGCGCCCCCCCGGGATTACGTGACCACATTTCGGTCGCCTGGAAACCAGCCAGCATTTATGGCCATTTGCAATGTCTTGCAGTTCCTTGACCATGTTTTATGATGGTTTTGCTGAAAGCCCACATTTCCAGGTTTTGACAAAATGGGCCCACAGCGAACCTGTTAAGGAAATACCTCTGAAACAGTGATCCAAGGGGTCAGTGGTTGTCCAGGAATAAATAAGATACCCATGTTGAGCCTGAGCTCAACATCACAATCTTCCAGGTGTGTTTGTTGGAGAAGTCTCTGTAGCCAGCTCTCAAACTGCAACCCTGGAGACCAATGTTTCTCAACCTCAGCAACTTCAAGATGGGTGGACTTCAAATCCCAGAATTCCTCAGACAGCTTCAACCCTGGATGTTGAAGTCCATACAGTTTAGATCAGGGGTAGACAACCTTGGCTCTTTTATGACTCGTGGACTTCAACTCCCAGAATTCCTGAGCCAGCATGGCTCAGCTTGGAAACCTCTCCTTTCCCCCTCAGCATGGCTGGCTCAGGAATTCTGGGAGTTGAAGTCCACGAGTCATAAAAGAGCCAAGGTTGCCTACCCTGGTTTTAGATTCTAGGAGCCCTGAAGGCACCAAAACTCCTCTGGGATTGCAATCCACACACCACAGGATTGGTCCTGACAGCTTTAATTCTGGATGTTG